TATTAGAATATTTAAGAAAAGCTCATGAAAATGCAAATATACCTTTAAAAATTTAATAATGATCAGTTGTGATGGTCCAAATGTTAACAAAGCAGTATTAAAAAAGATGAATGAGAAATTGGTCGAAGAACGAGAGAAGAAAATGATAGATATTGGTACCTGCAATCTGAATATAATCCATAATGCTTTCTCGAAGGCGCTGCAATGTTTGGGTTCTGATGCAAGTGACCTTGTACTTGAAGTTTATCTATATTTTGACGACCAGCCCGCCCGATGGTCGGATTATGAAGCAATCCAAAGTAATAATAATTTGCCAAAACACCCTTTTGTAAAACATGTGACCAGTAGATGGTTAACTTTACAGGCGGCTGCCAAACGGCTTAGAACAGTGGTCCGCATTACTTCATTACTTTATAATCACCGTCCCAAGAGACAATAGAAACAAGTTAACTACGCAAAGTAAAAGATATAAATCGATTTTGTGCTTTCTGAAGAAACCAAACATGAAGGCAGAGGTTTTTTTTTTGTTATAGAAAGCGCAGAAATGTTCGAAGATTCTTTAAAAACATTTCAAAAAGAAGAGCATCTTATACATATTCTATATGAAGAAGTGACTAAACTTACTCGCTGTCTGGTTGGAAAAATTTGTAAATCTGAAAAAGTCCTTGACACAATTTCAAATTTGAAGTTTTAGGACAAAGATTTAATTTCTTGTGACAAGATAAATCTGGGACCCAAAACAGCAGAAGAACTTAAAAGCATATATAAGGAAATATAATTACTTACATTCAAACAACAAGCACTGCAGCATTTTAAAGTAGCAGCTGAGCATTTAATGATGAAATCGGTATTAAGTACTTATATTTGCAAACATTTCCGATTTTTAAACCCACGTAAGAGACTAAAGGAAAGAAGTGAAAGAAGTGTGTTTAGGATTTCAAAAGCCATGCCTTTGGAAATTTCTAGTACAAAAGTGTTAGCTGAATGGAAACTTCTTAAGATTGATCATGACATGAACGCTTCAAACGAAAATTTAGATTGTCAACAATACTGGGACAAGATAATTCAATTGAAGAACGCAGAAGGTGCTTCCAAATATCCAAATCTTGGTCAGTTGCCAAAAGCTTCCTGCAAGAAAAGGTTACAGCTGCTAAGCGCCAGCAAAAAGAAAGCAAAGTAGCTATAGATAAATTATTGATTGAAGCTACAGAAAGACTGAAAATTGCAATTAAGAAAAATAACTTAGGATAAATTAGATTAGCTCAAGGAATGTTAGAGGGGGTACAAGCCATGAAGCATGAAGGAACGTTAAGTGAAGAAAGAACCGAAAAGTTAGAAAAAAGACTAAATAAAAGGAAATCGTCATTGATTACATCATTCTTCTCTAAAGGAACTCGTCTCGAGCCGGAATAAGTCATATTCTAAGTCATAAAATTTATTATATTTAATATAAATTATTTTCATATAACATTTTTATTCATGTATGTTTCAGTTCTAGTTCATATTCTGTGATTTATTATTTTATTGTTTTTTTTATTCTCAATCCTAATCAACCTTCCTGGTATCCGATCTAAAGCAATTTTGATTTTGACTAATTCGTTGCTTTGATGAAGAAAGTTTTGTAATTTTTATTTTCTGAGCGTAAGCGAAGGAAGTATTGTAATCGAGTCTGTCGACCGACTCTCTACTTTTACGTTTTCTCGACCTTTCATGACCCATAGAGTACGAAGAAATAAGTCCCCCGTTTCCGTCTGTCTGTCCGCCTGTCTCTTCGTCTGTCTGTCCGTCTGTGTGCATATAGTAAAACGCTAACCATCCCCACCAATAATGTAATGACGTCACTTCAAAATGAGTTTTAAATGATATAAAATAACATAGTCCTACATATGTACTTCATGACTCCGTGTTGAGTTTTTGTCCGAAATGTCCGGATTTTTGGAAAAAAATCAGAATTATAAAACAACATTTTGCAATTTAATTTTGAATCTGCAAAATCGAATGCTTTGAAATCTTGCAGATATTTTAAAGATATGATAAGCATAATAAATTTTTATTCAAAATATATTTACTTATCCTCTCCAAAAAATTGATGACGTCAGCCCAAAATTTTGCCAAATGAATACTATCTAAAATGTCCAAAATAGGATGAGTCTATACTTGTGATTTATCATTGCATTTCTTTACAGACAGGTCGGTCATTTGCCACTCCGATGCTCATTTTTAGATTAAATGCTCAAAACGCGTAGATGCTCGATTTGTTTCCGGGTTGCAAGTAGGTACTCAGTACATAGAGTATATGCTCAGGTACATAAGAGTAATACTGAAGTAAGTACACAAACCTCATTTGACATACACCTGTTACAACTTTTATGACGCGGCTTAAGCCAAAGCACCCTTATAAGTCAAACTGGCTATTGTAAGTTTTGTGGACCCGAACCGCAAGATTATTACTGTCCATTGTTGACATAATGTAGCTGTGAACTGAGTTAAGTAATACAATAGCCAGTTTGGCTTATAAGGGTGATTTGGCTTAAGCCGCTTAAGTCATAAAAGTTTTAACAGGTGTACGTCAAATGAGGTTACTGTACTTCGTACTTCGAATATGAGTATGTACTTATAGTTTTATTCATACCACCCAATGTCTCGCTTCAGTGTTTGATTATGAGCACAATGCTGATCATTGTACGAGAATGAACTTCATAAAACGACACAGAATTATTTTCAGTAAATCAAATATGTACATTTTGTCTTGAGAATTTTAAATTTTGAAAACTTCAAATTACATCCTTGAATAACGGTAAAGTTTGAGATTTTGTCGAAACCAACAAAGTCAATACAGGGTTAGTCACGAGAGAATTACTTCTGAAAATTTTTTTTACGCAACCCAAAATACGAATACCATGTACCATTTGATACTAACTGAATTTAAAATGAAATGGTTAATCCATGATTGCTTTGAGTTTGGCAATCTCATTTTGACAATTGTGGAAAAGGAGGTTACGCGAGTGTCCATGATGGTACCGCAGCCAGTCAGAAATCTCCTCCGGCGCCGCTAATAAATTTGTCAGTGTGCCTCTTGATCTTTTGCAACCGATTAATCACGAGAAAATTATTTCTAAAAATTCCTTTTACGGCATTTTATTCAAAGGTTACAACACAAACTCAAACAAGTAAGTAAATAATTTAACTACTAATCTGTTGAAACTGTTGAGCATTTTGGGGGGATGCTACGGCTTTTTTGTAAATGGATGGCCGAAGAAGCCCAGACGTTGCAGATTTGCACTTCGAAGAGGCTCTAGGTGACGCAGAGATGGCGAATTAACACATGCACATTAGCGGCGAACAACATTGGTAGAGCACTTACGGCTTCAGTATAGCCCAGATTGATCTGACCGTATGTCGTAAATCCAATGGGGCTCTAGAGCCGAGTCAACGATGAAAAAAAATGTTAAAAATTAATTAACGTCAAAGTGACACTGCCAAAGTCAAAGCAATCATGGATTAGGCATTTTATTTTAAATTTAGATAATATCAAGTGGTACAGGATGTTAGTATTTTGGGTTGCGTAAAAATAATTTTCAAAAGTAATTTTCTCGTGACTAACCCTGTATAGGTAAATAGAATGACAGATCAAAATTAATAACAAAATGTCGCAAAATATAACTAAATTCACTTTAACCAAGACTTTTCTTAAAATAAACGACGCTTTTTTTTACGAAAAAACAAAGAACGATTTGAAATGCAATACACTTTTCACAATAGCACGGAAGAAATAGTTTTGTATGGCAGGTCATGCGTCAGTTAGACGACATGTCCGTCAGGAACGCCAACTATTGAAATTAATTCGAAGTGGTGATTCCCATACAACATTTTTAAAAATTTTTGATTATTTAGCTGTTCTTTTTTTAATTTATAAACCCGTATAATATAGTGAACACAAAAAAAAAAGATTATTCAAATCGGTCAAGCCGTTTTTGAGTTTTATTAGCGAGAGTAACAGGAACAGCAATTCATTTTTATTATATAGAAGATTAAAAAATGGGGGCTGGTGGTAGAAGGGTGAAAATTTAGAGTTATATGTATTTTTTGAGGCCACAGCTTAAAAAAATAAAAAAATTTGTCCAGAAAATAATCAAAAAATGTTTAATGGGGTCACCCTTATCACTTAGGGGTATAAAAAATAGTTTACAACCTATTCTCAGACCTAAACAATTTCATAAAAATCGGTCAAGCCGTTTCGTAGGAGTTCGGTTACAAACACTGTGACACGAGAATTTTATATATTAGATTTATCTAATGTACATTTTAAAATGTTTATTATAGAAATTTGTTAGTTTGTAATCATTCATTTATTGATTTATGTAATGTACATTTTAAAATGATTAATATACGAAACTGTTGATTTGCTATACTTATTAGAAAAGGAAATGTAATTCAAAATAAATTCTTTCAACATTTAATTTTATGTACTTGTAAAAAAAAGTTATAAAATCTCACCAAGTAAGTTTTGTCATCAGCATTTGGCCTTGTATTTGAAAGAAATAAATGTGATTTCTCTTAAGCTACATTTGGCCATTTTCATCTAATGTTAAACAAACATTTTTTATTTTGAACCCTAGTACACATGTCTTAAATATAGTTATAATTACAAAGGAAAACAACTCTTAACTTTTGACAGAAGCAGACAAAGCTAACCTCTTTTTAATTTGTTTCTCCCTAAAAAATCACTAGCCCACGTTGCCGCCTATATTTTTGTAAGAAATTGCAACGTTGATGGACTTTGAAAAAAAAAACTTGTATTCGCTTTAATAGATTGACTAAAATGTTCGTAAGCGCCATAAAAAATTAACTACAATGAAAATATTACATAATTTACAATTTTACTAAAATCTAATAAATTTGAGCTGTATCAATTTCCATATTCTAGGAAATTTTAATTGTTTCAATGACATTTGAAATTTACGACACAATAGAGTCTATAATGAATAATTTGTTTACAGAAAATCCGTTGTCTTGTAGTTGCGACTCGCAGGAACTGTGGGAATGGCTCCGTGATCACCAAAAACTTGTTGAAAGGACAAATACGTTAGAGTTACGCTGCGAACATCCACCAGAACTGAGAGGTCGTGTGTTTCTAGACCTGGATCCGGAACAGTTCTGTGATCAACCTCTTGTTATCAAACTGGGCATCCAAGACATACAACCTTACTCAGTTTTTGTCTCTTGGCAAAGCCGAAATCATTCTGGAGTACATGGATATCAAGTGATGTACTATTCCATTGAAACAGCAGATGAGGTAAGAATACTAAATAATGTGCGTTAATAGAAACTGACATGGTGTAGAGTTTTTCGTAAATTTATAACAGTGAAATTATTATTAAATTTCAAACGAAGACTATGTCAGTGCGTAAATTTTAGGTTGGCTACTTCATGTTTTTTTTAATGAAAAATACAATAGTTGCCTTTAATTTGTTTAACCTTGGTATGGGGATTTTATGTGTTCAGAGACGTGGCCCATAGAAGGCGCACTATCACTAGCTTCTTAATGACAGGCTGCTAGGAGGTTCGAGCGATATGAACAATTATGTGTACGTACATATTCCGTGGGCGTATTGCTTATGAATATTGCAAAATTTTGTATCATCTATTCCGTTTAATTTGTCCTACAATAATCATTACACTGGATAAAATAATTCAATTTGAGCTGTTCAATGATTACTGAGTGAGGCAGTGCGAGTAAACCTCGAGTTTGACAGGCCGCCAGGACGTTTTACGATGCTGCTGATGGAGCTGTTCGGGAAGACGAGCTGCTCGAAGATCTTCATCTTGGGCTTCTTGGTTACGGCCTGGGCGTAGTCGGAGGTGGCTCGTTTGACGGGGTCGCACACTACAACCACATGATTTTCGTGGAGGGATTCATGTGCTGCACCCAGCACCAATAAATACAGGGTGTTAGGGAAGGGTCTGGACAAACTTTCAGAGCATATTGTTTGAAAAAAATGCTCTTAAGTAAATATTTTCATACCAGTTTTTACAAAAGTGTATAGTTTTGTCAAAAAATAGGGGTACCCCACTGTTTCGGAACCTCTCAAGTATAAAATTGGTAATAATGGATTGCATCGTTTTAGTCCTGCCTTGCTCCCTAGACACAAACTGAATGATACAAAGCGGGCTTTGACAGGAGGATATTTGAAACTTCACAAAAGTGTCATTGACAGTTTCAACTCTTAATTCATTCATCGTTATTAAAAAAATTGTCAGAATTTACGATTGCAGAATATGTCGACATGCATTTCGTCTCAAACTATTTCAGCGGTGGCTCAAAAACTGAGAGACCGGCTCAGTCAGACGTTGAGGACGATCCGTCAAGTTTTCACGATCCGAACTTCCTAGTGTACGGACGTTGAGTAGCGACTGTGCTTCTTTTAAAGTATTATTTATAATAATCTTAACATCATGACTAGAGAGCGGATTTTATGAAATTTGCATATCCGTTATTTTTTGCATATAAGTCTTGATATTTAATATGTGAACGAATCATGCTAATTAAAAATGAATACAGCTATAAAAAAATTGCATATTTGCATATATTTGCCTTCTGCTGCATATTTCACCAAACGGGTGCATATTTTGCATTTTTATCAATTTTTGTACTAATTTGAAAAAAAATTATCGTCATTCTATCGCAATTTATCTAGAAAGACGAAATTTTATGAATCATGTTGCAAATATTGTCCTGAGCTTCAAATAACTAGAAAAGGTTTGGGTTTTATGGTAGTTTGGAAACACCACTGGGTGTTAAGCCATCCTTCCAGGTAAATTCGCGCTCTAATTACTTTTGGAAATACCGTTCATTCCCAAAATTTTTGTTCATTGGTTAAGTGGTGGTCGAAGGAACGTTATACTATTATTTTTCATCGTGAGTTTGTATTGAAAGCATTTAAAGGGATACAGGTGAATCAATATGTCGAAGATAACTCAAATTAATTTATGGATTAAACCTTTTCCCGAACTTATTTTTCAAGAACGAAATGTGTTTTGTCGCGCCTGCCCTAAACCGGTAAGTATTTTTACATCTGTGGACGTAGTACGCAGTTTTTCTATTTGCAAATACTTATACTTACTTTAGAATCACCGGAAAAACTTGTTGTTAGAATATTTCGAAAAAAATAAATTGTGGATTACTGCTATTTTTTAATTTGTTCTATTTAGATTTATTTTTTAGTATAAGAATATTATCTTTAAAAACGTGATTTATGTGTTAGTGAGAGTAATTAAACACTTTGCGCTGTGATTTATGTATTTTTTGTAATAAACCGTAAGCTCGGGAACCCTGTTTTTGTATTTTATAACTTTAGTTCGCTTTTTTTTAATTTTTGGAGCATATGCATCTGCATATCTCTGCATATATTAAGAAAGTTACTGCATATTTGCATAAATTTGGTGCATATCATATGATCATATTTCTCAAAATTTTGGTGCATATTTTCCGCTCTCTAATCATGACCAATACTAGAGGAGCCAAAAATGACAACGATCAGTTAGTAAGACCATGGCCGACTAGTATAAAGATTATGGCCTGTCCAAGAGGTACCATACGTGTTGCCATCTATTAATAATTACACTTAATAATTTAGCAAACTTTTAATTTGACTTGACATTATGGGACTTCAAAACGTGTAATGGTGGTTTGTTTCGGTATGAATGCCTTTGTGCCTTTCAAAAAGTGTTAATAATTCTTTTGTCGTTTTTGAATTATTAATAGATGGCAGCACGTATGGTACCTTTGGCATTCCTTTGGACAGGCCATAATCTTTATACTAGTCGGCCATGGTAAGACTGAGAGACCTAAAACAAGTGATCAGTGACATAATTAAAGGTGAAACCTTGACTCTGCTTAGAAGGATTGAGGAACTTGAAGAACAAGTTGCCCAATTGAAAGACGTAAACCATCAAATACTGAACCAGTTAAACCGAAATTTGTTACGAGAAAATGCCCCAAATCATGTAATCCCAGCGGACGTATCATCGATTTCCGATGAAACAGCTGAGTCATCTTCAGGGGAAACCGTATCAATATTGATAACGAACAGAAAAAAAGGCACTTTAAGAAAAAGAATTCAAAACGTCCTCGTACTAAAGAACCCAACGAAAATTCTAAAGAAAAGATTCCTGATTTTGTAAAGGGCACTGAAGAATCTACCAACACCGATTCATCTGAATTTATGGCCCCAGAAAAAAATATTTGGCTCCACATCTGCCGATGTGGATCTTCAACCATAGTCGACCATGTCAAGGCCCATGTAACTGATAAATGGCCTAATTCCAACTTCGAAATTATAAAACTACCGTCGAAAGGTACAAATGCGTCTTTCAGGCCATGCACAATGTATGATGAAAATTTACTGCGCACGTTATACGATCCGATGAACTGGCCGGCGGGAATCGTAATCAAGCAGTTTAAATTTTTTCGACACAACAACGGGGGATCTTTCCAACATTAATACCGCTCAGAGTACTAAAGAACATGACAATGGTTTAGGTAAACCAGAAAATTTTGATTTTTTATTATTAAACTGTCAGTCGATAACATCCGATAAATGCAATATTCTAGTAACCGACCATCTAAATCTACACCGTGAAGTAATCTTCATTTGTATAACAGAAACATGGTGTTCTCATCACAGCATTAGTGCAGTTCACATCCCTGAATATGAACTTGTAAGTTCCTTCTCGAGACTTAATTATAAAGGCGGTGGGGTCGGTATATGGTGCAAATCCATCCACCGGATAAAATCTCTAGACTTATCAAAACACTGCCTTGAAAAAGACTTCGAAATATGTGGTACCTCATGGAAAAGCGGTAACATAGAAACAATAATCCTGACGTGTTATAGGTCACCCAAAAGCGATCTCAATATTTTTTGCGATAAATTGTGTGATATTTTTGATTTGTTGTTTAAATGAAATATTCATTTAATATTGTGCGGAGATTTAAATACAGATCCTGAAAGGGATTATAAAGAATTCAAAAAATTAATGGATATCTTATCTACATACAATTTAATGGAAAAGGTAAACAAAGCTACCTGAGGCAAATGTTGTCTTTGTATTGCAAAAAGTTCACAAAGCTTTGCAACCTTTTATGCAAATGCAAAATTAAATCATTTTAAATTAGTAAGGGAGACCAAAAGAAAGTTTTTTAACCGCCAAATTCAAGTATCAGATAATATTCGAAAAACAACTTGGAATATTCTTAAACAAGAAACACATAACCAAAATAATAAGCACAATAATATTTCTATTAACGTTGAAAATGTGCACGTGGAGGACCCTCAGAAAGTTGCTAATATTTTCAACTCTTTCTTTCAACATGCACCGACCGCCATAGTCAATATAAATAACAGGTGCTACTGAGGATAATATGCACATAATTAAAAGTCATAATAATTTATCCTTATTGCCTTTTATTCAAGAAGAATTAATTTCCTTACTTTCGGCTAAACTAAAAACCAAAAAATCATGTGGATTCGATGACATCCCACTGTTCTTGTTAAAGAAAATAGTTCCCATGATTGCTACCCAGTTAACATTTCTTGTTAATTTATCATTCGAAAGTGGTTGTTTTCCCGAAAAACTCAAAATTAGTAAAGTAATTCCAGTTTACAAAAAGAATGATCTCAACGACATAAACAATTACAGGCCAATTTCTTTAACATCTTGTTTTTCAAAAATATATGAGTATTGTTTTCTGTCACGCCTGGATAAACATCTTCAACGAAATACTGTTTTGAATCCAAATCAATTTGGCTTCCGTACTAATTTGTCTACGTCAGTTGCAATTAATCATTTCTATAGCTTTGTGCTAAACTGTTTAGAGAGAGACCAGTACACCATCAGTTTATTTTGCGACTTAAGCAAAGCATTTGATTGTATAAATCACGAAAAACTTTTTAAAAAATTAGAAGCGTACGGCATCCGGGGTCTCCCTTTAGCGTGGATAAAATCTTTCGTGATCCAACGATCGCAGTATGTCTGTCTAAAACATCTGGATACTGTAAATAACATCTTAAAAAATGTAGACTCCGAGATACTTGAGATAACACTTGGCGTTCCTTAAGGAACCATCTTAAGCCCTATATTATTTATAATATACACCAACGATTTATGTCTAAATATCAATAATCATGCTCATGTCACACTCTACGCAGATGATACAACAATAGTTATGTCACATTCCAACTCTAATTTTCTTCAAACAATTTGTGACGACACTACAAATCAAATATCCAGATG